TGCACATTCCATGGAGTTCTGCGAGCCTCGAGTTTTCGAGGAAGGTTTTTGTCATACTCGAATTGGGGGACCGGCCGGGCGCGAGCCCTCAGGAGCTGGGTTTTTCGATTTCCACCAGGACGAATCCAATCCGAAAGGAAAGCGTCCATCATCTCCTCACACCACGATCAAGAAGCGAGATACTCGGTTCCTCTCCGTCAATGGATACACAGGGCAGAAACTTGTGAATGAAAGAGGCTCGAGTATATTCTCTCGTCGCCCCAGGAATTGCGAGAGAACGATCACAATTATTGGAAGCCTCTTGAGTCGAACGCTCGGAATCCGAATAGCTGATGCCGACACAACCTTCTTCAGACGCGGCTGCCACAGTGATAAATCGCGAGTTGCGACCAATCGAAAACATGTGCAGTCTGTTGTGTCTTCTTTCGACACGAGTTTATTACACGCGATAATAATATTTTCTGGCGTATGAGCTGAACTCGGATTCAGAGCTGTGCGCTGCGTAGCGAGATCGCCGGCGCGCCGAGTGTGGAAGTCCGCCGCCAGCCGCCACCGAATCTCCACGGCGCGGCGGCGGCGAAAACGCCGGCGGCGCGCCGTCGAATTCGGTAGTCAATACTGTGCATGATGCTGCTAAGTCGGCGGCAGAATGAGAGATTTCGACTCCTTATATCACTTACGACGTCGATGTGCCCTCTCCCACCCAGCGCTTTGGAAGAAATCCGAGACCGTGAAGATCCGAGCAGGCATGACAGATAGAGATTTTTCACTTGTGCTCCACAGATCAAGCGTTGCAGAATACCCATCAGAGGTGAGCTTCTCTGAAAGCCTATTGACCCGGAGATGATGTCGGTCTCAGGCAGCTGACTCAAGCATCAGATACGGTTTTCGAATATCGGAATTATGGAAAAAGCGATTCCCGACCCGTCGCGGGAAGACTCCCCACCAGGACACAAGGAGAATACTGTTCGGCATTCGCAATCTCCTCATCCGTTTCAGGTTTGGCATGTTTCCGGTCGTTTGAGGCACTCGGATGGGTCTGTCGCGGAGCCGAAGAAAGTTTTTTGTAAACTTTGTTTTGACAACGAAAACCTAGTCCTGAGTTACGGCGACGGCACAGGGACTGAAGCCCTGCTTCGTCACATCAAGCGAGAGCACCTGGGTAAGGCAAAGCTCCAATTCACTTATTCGATCGTCGCATCTCAAGGAAGTCAAGCTCAGATATACTCAAGAAATATTTTCAGATGAGGTACCTGAAGAGCCGATATAGAGCGCGCTTCTCTCATCATGGAGAAGGTCTGTGACTGATGGCGCTAAACAGCAATCGCACGATTCGAAGAAAGCTAAGAAGTTCAGGCTCGCTAGAGATCTCGCCCTCTTGATCTGTGAGGATCTGTCGCCATTCTCATGTGTTGAAGGGAGCGGTTGCGGAAGATTCTTCATCCGCCAGAGAATCGTCTCCGATGCATCAGAAATTCCGGTGCATTCGACGGTATCAAGAGGGGCTTTCGACGATGTATACGATACTCTGAAGGAAATCGTAGTCGAAAAACTACCGAACGACTCCCACTTCCACATTTCTACCGAGACATGGAGTGACCGTTATCGACGGTTCCCATACATTGCTATCGTGGTTCATTATCTGGACGCGGACTTCAACATGATGTGCGTTCCCCTGAAAACGGATTTCTTCGCTGCCCCGCACGCAGGAGTTGCCATCATGAATGAAGTCAGGAGTACCTTGAGAGATTTCAAGTTACCGGAAAGCTTCATGTTCTCCGCAATATCCGACGCTGCAAGCAACATGATAAGCGGATTCCGCGATGTGGAGCATATCCGGTGTGCGGACCATAGAATGCACAGAGCCTTGACTGCGGACTTCTATGAAACGCGCATCGGCCAACGCGTGATGGATCTCCGTGCCAAGTTGATGAGGGTACATCGTCACCTTATGTTCAAGAAAAATTTCGTTGCCTCTCTGGAGAAAGAAAAACTTCAGGAGCGATACCTCGAGTCACTTGAGAGAGCTCGAGAGATAGAGACGGTGAGTATCCTTCTGATCCCCATCCGCACCTTGCTCGGATGTTATAACTAGGTGAGGAGTTGGTGAGGAACTAGTCTCGTGATCTCCCGCCCGCCCGGCTTGACGATACTCATGCGATGTTGCCCGATGCCACGTTTACCTCAGATGCCGACCTCGAGCTCCTTGGTGCTGCAGTCCTGCCGCAGGCACTTCCCAACTTATTGCTCCGCCTCAGGGACAAACTTACGAGGATGCAGAGTAGACTGCCCCTCCTGACTTCACAGGCTGCTTTCTTCCTTTTGCGAAGCTCTCTTGGTATCAACCGCATAATGTACTTCCTCCGAGTCAGTCCTGCCTACGTTGCTTCCAGTGAACTCAGCTCTATCGATTCTACAATACTACAATGCGCGCGATCATGTCTCAATCTTCGCCTGGACGCCAGATTAAACACCCAGATGTCCCTTCCGATCAGGTCTGGAGGACTGGGTCTTCTTGTCCCCTCAGACCTGGCTCTGCCCTGTTTCTTGTCGTCAACTTTCGCATGTTCCGAAACAGTACAACTTATTGTGGAGGCTTGCTCCGAATTGGCTCACCAATCTGAGGCTCTTTCGTTATGGTCGTCGAGGTTCTCGCAGATTCCTGATGCAGACAATCGTCATCTACAATCAGCCTGGGACAATATTTCCGCGGCATCAGCCCAGTCCCAAATCACATCTTCCTCAGAAATCACCTCAATGGAGCGAATCTCGATGTCCCATGCGGCTGGCCCCCATAGCGGAGCTTGGCTTCACTGTCGCCCAGATGAAAACCTTGGCACGGTCCTCAGCGATTCCGAATTCCGCATAGCCTGTGGCCTCCGTCTTGGTCTAGACCTCTTCGCAGCCCGCCTGTGCAGATGTGGCAGCAATGCTGACCCAAAGGGCTACCATTATCTCAGTTGCACCACTACTACGTCTTTCAGGCAGGCCCGGCACAGCGCCGTCAATGACATCATGCTCCGGAGCATAAGACAATTACATGTCCCGGTTCGCGCGGAGCCCGCTCTTTTGAGCCCTGACAGTGGCATCCGTCCTGACGGCATGTCTCTGACTTCTTGGACTCGAGGTAGACTTCTGGTGTGGGACGTCTCCATCCGGAACACCTATTACCCCAGCTACATGGGCTTGGCGAGCACTGTGGGTGCCGTGGCCGCCAGAGGTGAACGTGACAAAAACATCCATTACAGAACACCCTCAGAGGAATATCTTTTCCTCCCCTTTGTTATCGAAACTTCGGGCGTCTGGGGCGAACGGGCGATTGCTTTCTCCAAGGAGATCGGTGGACGACTTGAGCAGGCTACCGGGGAAACACGCTCGACGGAATTCTTCAGACAGAAAATCGCACCGGAGCCCCAGCGAGGCAACGCACGATTGCTTCTCGACGCTCTGCCCCGCGGGAGGGGTCTTGATGAGCTTTTCTTTGTGTGAAATTTTCCTTCACTCAGAAACCCGTAGATTCAAATCCTCTCTATATGTAAAAGACTAAATAAAAACTAGGAGGGGAGTTGGAGGAGGTCTCTCCCGTGAGAGAATCTGATTGAATCTATCTGGATCTATGGAATGGAATCTTTTCGTCCGCAGGCCGGGGACGCAGACGAGCGCTACGCTGACGGCGACCTGGGAGACGAGTCACCACAGGGTTATGATCCCAAAGGCTTGAGGGCCGACGTAGCTACACGCTGGAGCTCCGTCTGTTTGTTATTTGAGTCAGCCGCAGCGTCTTCCGAAGTGTTGAATGAAGTTCTGATGAGAACTGACTCCCATGAGGTCCTCCTCACCGCCCTGGAAATTGCAGACATCCAAAGCGCGAAGCTATATCGAGTAAGTTTCGGCGGTCGTTCGAGAGAGTCACTCGATACAGTTTCGATTAAATATGGGATGCGGCCCGCGTCCCTATGGCTTCGAAACGGACGGGGAAGCTGAAGCAGACTTTCCAGGTGATCTTGGACATGATGATCCTGATGCAAGGAACGAAAAAGCCGTCAATAAACATTGTCGTTCTCCTCGGAGTCATCGATATAGAGACAGACGACTTTACGAGAAATGGCCGCCGATGCAGACCCGACTTCGAATACAGCTGAGATCGAGTTCAAAGAAGAGCTGGTGCGTGCGTGAACTCATCAACTGCATACGGGGACGGATGCGACCCTTCGTCGATGTTGAGCTCCTTGGTGCGCTGCTAGATCCAGAGATGAAAAATGTGCCGGCCGTCAGAGCAGAGGTACCAGGCGATAGTGTCTCGGAGTTCCTTCTCGACTCCATTCTAATCTACACTTCTGCAAGCATGGTAGACCAAGCTGTCGAAGTCTTGGAGGAAAGACCTCTGAAGAAGAAGAGGTGTTCGTTGCTTGAAAGATATTCGTCTCGTGAATTGGGTGAGAGTCTGGGGAACGAAGTCGACCGTTACCTCGCGCATACAGTGAAGCTAACGGGGAACGGCGAAGAATTCGGCCGTGATAGAATTCTGTCATGGTGGGCAGATAACGCGGTCGCTTTTCCCAATGTCTCGAACCTCGCTCGCATCATCCTCTCCATTCCCGCGACATCAGCGGAGCCTGAACGGAGGTTTTCAATCGCAGGAAATTTGTTGCGAGAAAAACGGTGTACTTCGGATCCAATAACGATGACGAAGACTCTTTTCATTCACGACAACAAGAGTTTCTTGCCGCGTATATGACATATAGTTCCGATGTTAAGTTAAGGCATGCCCTTCCCTACATTGTTATTGGGACGGAAAATAAATTCAACGTCCCATAGTTCATCTTCTCTCTGATATTATTCTCAGTGGCTATCTCCTGCGCCGAGGTGCGCCGCCGCGCCGCGAATTTCTCCCCCGCCGCCGCCGCCGTCAATTTTGGTCGCGGCGCACAGCTCTGCTCTGATTCGACCTGTTTTCGTGGACAGGATCTGAATCGAGGAATCTTCTGGCAGTCATCTCCTTAGCCGAACCAATGGGATCCCTGACAGCTCCTGGTCCATTCGGCCTGGCAAATCCAACACCATTCGAGGTCGCACCTCCCGCAAGCCATGTGCATGCAGCCTCCTGAAGGACGATGGAACACTTTAGAATCGGTTCCCGGGCACCGACAGCCTCGCGCGACCAAGCGCGTGTTACGGAGCAGGGAAGTTTTTTACCGGATCGCTCGGTCGGTGTTCGACACTTGGGACAAGGCTTCGTGGTTCCCTTGATTGTGATTCTCGATGATTTGTCCCATCTGGAACGGCTCGCTCTATCTTCGTCAACCATGAATAAAGTACCTCCAGCCGTGTCCTCCCTTTGCATCGCAAGCGTCAAATCTCGTTCTGCTACATCTTCTTCTTGACAAGGACCGATATGCGCGCCTTGGAGACAGTCACGACAAAACACGAACTGGGGAACGAGGTCGAGTTATGAATACCATGGGAAGCACTAGAGCCAATTGAAGGAACGATTTTATCAATCGTTCTCAATTTTCCTTCCAAATCCATGCAGTAGGACTCACGCCACAGCCTTGCCCCTCGATCCGAGAACATGTGACTTTGTTGCATTTGGAGAGAGTTTCGTCGAGCAGAATTCCTGCCCCACATCCAGGTCGAGGGCAGAAAACCCCACCCGCCTTCAAGATGAAATCTTCTGTGGCGAAACGCTGGTACCTGGATAGAGAGGAGCTTCATGGAACCCGGGGAGGGATACGCAGAGGGAAAATATCCTATAAGTGATCGAATCCGTATGCATACGAGGTCGGACGAATGATGGTATCCGAACCTTTGGTATTGCTCATATCCGAGAACCCTGAAATGATGCGCGTCCTTTATGAACGAGTCCGCGCAATTCACTGGGCAGGCCAATGTGTAGCCGAAGAGGTCTGTCTGCACGAATTTGCGTTCGTTCAATCTCGACAGACAGTAGGCGAGGAAGCACTCCAGGCAGATTACGTGCGAAGCCTCGCAAGGGAAAACCAGGACGATTTGGCTGAAAGTTTGAATATCCTTCGTGTTCATCAAAAGGAAATAAAATACGTGGAGCCGTGAACATAGACCATGATCATCATCAGACGAACCTTATGTCTTGGCAAGCGATGCAAGGAACTTCTTGGAAATTATTCTTGACATGCTCGAGCGGCGCAGCATTGTCAGTGTTGGGCGTATGGGCGGCACATTTGAAGAAAAACTCAGCGTCCGAACCAGTGCAGGAGTCGTTCTGACATCTACGAAGAAAGACTTCGAGGTGCAGAAGACGGACACAATGAATAGTCTGAGGAGCGCTCTTTGGTCGTTTGCCGGAAAGAGCTGATCATGGATTGTTCTGATGGTTTTCGCTCTCGATTCTGAATCGACAGATTGAATCCGGCTAGGACAGCGCTCGTCATACAGTACTCACTTTCCCTTGAGGCGTCCTTTCGAGAGGACATCCTCCCAACATTGTGGATCCTCTTGTAGAAGCAGGGTGCCCTGAAGACATGTTGCACATCTCACCCTCAATTTTCCCGGACATACCTGTTTGCAGGGATCATTACAGAACACGAAGAAATGCACCCGCCGGATATCTGCAATAATTCCGGTAAATAGACCATGAGTATCGCGTCCCTTTCGAGCTCCCCCTAACCCTGTGAGTCTTACAATGACGGAGATCTCGTCAGAGGGAAGCACTGCCTCCGCATGAGAGCAGGGGGAATGTTTCATTCAATGATGCTGGTGATATAGGGTGATCAGCTACTCTCAACACTTACCGATGGAACTGCCCAGAGTTTTACGATCGCTATCTGTAAGCTGCAATTTCACAATCGAATCGGACAGTGGACACGTAGTTTCCGCGTTCACCTCGGGAATGGATATCGATGTTTGCGCTTGTTTCTGTTTCACCGCGTGGAGGATCGTTTGATCTCCAACGTCGAAATCCTGTGGATCGATAGTCTTTTGAGTTCTACGATTTATCAGAGTCGAGATTTCTGAAGGAGCCCCGCGAGGGGCGATTCCCGGGCCCGAGAGGACTGGTCTTCGCGATCTGCATCCGCCCCACCCAAGTTCATCGGAATCCCTCAATCCGTGGAGAGACGGGAGAGCTAAAGAATAAGAGGCCCTAGTTTCGCAGTAAGGGTGGAAAAATGAATCGGGGCTTAGGATCGGTATCAATGTATTTCAGCTCGGTTCGAACAAGGACTCAGAAGGTCACGTTCTTGCTTCCTTGCCGAAATCGGCGGAGGTCAAATTCTAATTCCACGCTCCGTCGGAGGCTTTGTCACGATGATGGCTCGATTGAACACTCCGTTGAGAAGCTCGAGTGCATGGATGGATGGATCTCTCAGTGGATATTTCTCAGCGAGTAACAACGCGTCACCGGATCCGTTCGCTTCGAAAGAATCACGTCATTTCACTTCGAGGGAATAAATTCCAAGTCAGCCGCGTCATGCAGCCAATTATCTTAAGGTACATTTAGCCCCATCGACGCCGCCTTTCATCATTATCTCACAAGAAATTTGTGAATAATTTTCTTCCTGATTGCTTCAGATCATATCGAGCCGCATCACAGGAGTAAAGTGCTCGGAGGAAACCCCGGAGCACCTCGCTTTTTATACATGTGAAAATTGAGCGCTATAGGCTTCTACCACGACGGATGCCTGGCGAAAAACTTCCTCGCCGATTCCTAGACCCTGTCATGAATGAGGGGAACACAATGCACAAATCAACAAATCTTCAACAAAATCTGGAACAACAGGGTCATCTAGAGCGAGGAAAAATTCGGTCACCTCCCTTATGATACACAGTGAGCTTTGCTCGTGCGAATGACTTCGTCACTCGATTCAATAATAAGCCTGACCTCCCCTAGACTTCAATGTCTCTGTTCACTCCCAATCCGTCGGAGTTGATAACCTTATTGTACATGAACAGAATAGATACAATCAGAGAAACGATGGTATACAGTGGTTAGCTCCTAGCATTTACAATGAACACGGTCCATCGTCGAGTCGATGAACTTGTAGTCGTGAGTCGCTTAGGTGATAATAATAATATTATAGTAATGATATGAATACTCGAGTTTCGCGAAAGCCGATCGTTGCGAGGAATCGCGATACCACGTAAGACAGCTGAACATGAGCCGAAAACAATGCATGAATTTTTATTCCTCAACTTTGAATTTGGAGTGTGACGATGTCATGATTCTCTACTCCGTCTTTTGCGCACGTTTCCGAATTGTGGACACTGGAGAACACGTCCGAGACCGGAATTTCGGTCCTGGCTGGGTTGGTTGGCTGCATGAATGAATGATTGGCTTTAAGTGTAGAATATGGCATCCATGAGTTGAACTGATTCGTACTGAACTTCCGATGGAGTTGTTTCCGATTCGACGACGTTGTGTAGCGGGAAAAGATTGCGCGAAAAGCTGGAAATGAAAATGTCCCCCTCCACGAGATATGCGAGTGGGACGTGCTCGCTGACTGAGTGGCAGACGTCCAGCAGAATCTTTGTCGAGGACGATCAGAGCAGACGAATAAGGGATAGAATACGGTGACTTATTCGTTTTTTTCCCCGTGAGCCGTTGGCTTTTGGTCATAGATTTCTTGACGATCGATTCCGAATCTGTTGATGGAAACATCCTCAACGTCGCTCGCGGTGGTGCTTGTGGAGACTCGATCATCTACCTCCGGTCGTCATGTCTTCTTTCTTTTTCTCGGTAGCTCCTCTCTTCCCTGTCGTCCCTACCGCCACCACTACGTTCGTCACGGTAACCGCGGTCATCATCGCGATCTCTGTAGTCTCGCTCCCTGTGGGAACTGGATGAAGAATATCGATCATCATGATAACGCTCTCGTTCTCTGGAAGCATGAATTCGATGTTAATCTCAGAATAGCAGGCGTGGCTCCCCGAGAAAACATCCGGCTCGTTGGAGGACCGGCAAACGAGAACTCCGCAAGATTTCCTCAATCGAACAATTCGGTTCTTGCCGGCGAAACTCGCGCTAGAATTGTTCCCGACGTCGCCCCACCAAGCAGCTTACCTTGATCTGTCGCGTTCTCGTTCACTGGTTCCACGAGACCCGCTATCACGGTACTCTCTATCGTAATCCCTGTCTCTGGAACGAGACCGCTCTCTTCTTCTGGTGTCTCTTCGGTCGCGACGATCTCTCTCGCGATCTCTTATTGGAGATCGTGAACGCCGTTTTTCGGCTCGCGATGATGACCCATAACTCTTTGATTCGATACCGTGCAGGGTATCCTGGAGACTTGCCACAAGAATTTTGCAGCGTTCGTCTTTAGCGACTTTCGACGATTTAATCATTGAGATGGCGGTCACGAGACTCTCTATGGCCGCAGGGTAGTTCCCGGCTGCTGTTTCGCTCACGGCTCTTGAGATCGCAGAAGAACTTATTGTTCTATGACGTGCCATAATGTCTTCGAATTCGACGTCGCTCATTGGCGGAATTTCACTGGGCTGGTATTCCCCTCCGTATGGTGGAGGTCCGGGGAAAAATGCTGGATTGAGGTGAGCGTTCGGTAAGCCCGGGAGAGGGGGAGGGGGACGATTCGAGACTGGAGGCATACCGGGCGGCATTCCCGGTGGCGGTTGATTCATCGGTGGCGGCATACCGGGGGGAGGCAGCCCGTACGGGGGAGCCCCTGGTCCTGGCGGTGGTGGCATCCGATGCATCATGGGGGGCGCACCGGGCGGAGGACCTTGGAAAGTCGGGGGTGGTGGTCCACCTACATTTGGGGGAGGTCCATTCATCGGTGGTGGGAAACTCATCGGCGGTGGTCCCGCTCGACCAGGGCCTTCCCAATGCACTCCCGGATCGTGCCGAGGTAATCCGCCTCCGCGTCCACCTCGATCTCCTCGACCGCGACGGCCATCGCGGCCTCTGAAGCCGCCGGGGTCTCGGTAAATGTCTCGCCGATCGTCTCTGAAGCCTCCGTCCCTATAACCTCCTCCGTCTCTGAAGCCCGCTCCGTCTCGGAATCCGGGGCCGTCTCTGAAAGCTGAGCCATCGCGATAGCCGCTGTCTCTACCGAATCCCCGATCCTCCCGGAAGCCGCCCCCTCGATCGACGCGGTCTCGAATGCCCCGGGAATCACCGTCGATGGCACCCGAATCCCGCGGAGGTCCTTCACCCGGTTTCCTCGATGCAGCCTGGAAGGCACAAGTTTGTTAGCCGGCGGAATAGTGTCTAGACGAACCTCTTCAAATGCAGAGGCTCAATTCCGGTCGGTCTACTTGCCCCGAAGCATCATCTCTGATTCTAATTTGAGAACGGTGAACTATGCAACAATGAAATGACTACATACCTCGAACTGATTCAGGCTGGCCCTGGTGCAGGGAGTGACAACGGGACTCTGGCCGTAGAGATCTTCTTTGGGCAGTCGCTCCATGAGCATCTTGAAGGAAGCGTCTGATCCGAGAGTAACAAGGCAGAATCCTTTACTTTGTCCATTGGATCGATTTTCGAAAAATTTCACGTCCAGCATATCTTGGACGCCAACTCGCTGTATAATGTCGGTGATGTCTTGATCGGTGGTCCACCATGTGAGATTGCCTATGAATTACGAAATTTGATCTTCTGCTGGTATCAAAGGCAGAGCTGCATCGATTCTGGCCGCGGAGACTCTGGTGAATGTTCTGAGGTTCATACGGAGCACTACAGAAGGACTTCGAAGCTGAGCTTTTCACCTCTCCGGAAATTCAAGTCCGTGATATGGCATGGATGAATGCCCGAACGCGCATTCGCACACCCGCTTCACGCAGCAGGGAAGACAGCCAATAAAAATGTCCCTCCAATGGACTCGGCCACCGCGAAACTCGACGTGTGACCGGTAGCCTCGGTAAAGCTTGCGGGAAACTACTCTACGGGGAATCTCAGCAACCATTCGATGGAAATATCATCACTCGAGTCTGACGACGATAAACTTCGCTCGTGGAGAAACCGAAACGAAGACACTTACCGATATAAGTAGCGACCCGACGCCCGCTATCCCTGTGTTGCAAAGGAGGATTGGCGTCTCCATTTTTTTTCTCCTTCAGAAGGGGCTCTTTGGTCGCGCCTGAACCCACCGGGGCGATGACATCGTCGTAGAGGTCTACATTTTCGAGACCGTCGTCATACGCGCCACTGAACTCGTTGTCCAGGTCGGCATCGGCATACAAATCGATGTCGGCATCCGCCATTTTCACCAGTACTACCTCTTGGACAACAAACGCGTGTGCCAACAGAAGTTACGATGCAGCCGCGAAGAAATAACAATAGGCTGCTCCGGCGGGCGATTTCAAATCCGCTCGCGCCCCTTTCCGAGACGCTCCGCTCACCGGGGAGTTCGCTCTCACCAAAGCCTGGACAGAGAGAGAGGACACCAGCAGAGCTCGGCTCCGCGGGGCTGGGGACGCAGAGAGGAGCAATCTTTCAGGGATTCTGCATGGCCGCGAGTAAATCCATGGAAAGAAGAGCCAGAGTCGCAGAGTCGGAAACAGACCGCGCCCCATCACTTGGGAACGCGCTTCGGATCCGACTCGGATTCAACAAGATTCGGCGTGATTTAGCATGATCCAGAGTGATCTCACGTAATTCGGCGTGAATTAAGGTGATTCAGCGTGATTTACCGCACTCCACCGTTATCTAAGCAAGGTCTATTGGACCGAAACCAGGTGCCTTAAAAATATAAGAGACCGCCCGATTGCGCTCAAACCATCAGAAAAGATCACCAGCATCATTGTCTCCGTTCGGTCTATATTCGAGCGATGGCTGCGGTTCAACTTTTCCCCCTGGCTTCTTGTACGGGTTTCCCATAGACTGAACTTACGTATAATTGTACGGTATCTTGACAATACGTACAAGCGTTCGGAAGCGCGGCGATAAACCGTACAATCGTACGACCGTATGAATCGAATTTCGGGTCTAGCCGGCAGTCTTCTGGAGCGCCATGCCTGGCGAAGCGTTCCGAAGCTTTCTCGTAGATAGGGGATGGCTCGCTCCGTGGTAGAATCGAACGTTTTTTCGGTGGAAATCAAGAGAATTCAAACGGATTCCATGTTGGAAGTTCTGTATAGTGATTCCGCCGCGCGAATCGAATTTCGGTCAAGGAGTCTCGAGTGCTCTCGACACTGGTAAGGTTCGAAGGAGAAATGCACCACGTAACGAAGAACGGTGAATGGACTGATCGAACCTACTACATACGCGCCACGAGATCATGATGCCCAGATTTGCCCAGAAAAATCGACATCGACCGAAATGAGCCCAGAAGCGGGAACAAACATACATAGATGTGTAAGCTCACCGAGTCCAAGACTAGACGGGTGCTCGTGATTCGGCAATATCTCTTGAAACGAATGATTTCATGGGGGAATCCCGCTGACAGCGGATTTGGGAAACCAAAGCTGCCAGATACGAGCGTCGGAGTGTAGGATCTTGTAGTTTAGGCTCGGAACGTCCTCATTCAGGACGGAGCTCCTGTGAAGGTGCGATCGCCCCGGAAGCGAATCGAATAAGCTCGAGAATAAGGATTCAATATTGATTTCGGGGAGGACTCCGGCATCGACGGCCGCCATCGAAGGTTCCGCGCGCTGATAGGATCCCATGTGGTAGTTTCGCGAATGTGAGGTTCCAAGCACATCGGACGCACGAAATAGTTTCGAGAAAAAAAGATCAGAATGCTCCCTGCTCGTCAGAGGTCTCATAAAATCGATTCAATATGATCCCAACTGTACTGTTTTTGCATCTACGGCTCGATTTGCGCCAGCCCTATCGTAGCGCTCGTCGGTTCAGACACGGGAACCAGAATTTCGAGAGCAACGATCTCGAGAGGCAGAATCGCAGAAGCCAGAATCACAAAAGCCAGAATCGCAAAAGCCAGAATTCTCATGAGCCGGGATGCACGGACGCTCGATCGCCGCCTTCCCATGCGCGGAGAGGCTCCTATGCCTCAATCACCGATCCTTGCAAGACGGCCTGAGAAATTGGAATGATGGACACGCGCGCGCGAAAATTCGTTCTGGTGATATTCTGGCATCTACTGAGGGGACGGGACGTCGTGCAGATTGACGGACGCTGCAGATTGCAGCTGATAACTAGAGCTGCGAAGTTCAGGCATTATGCCTGAAACGCCTAATTTTGCCTTTTTCAGCGGAAAGATGGCAATTTTTCCTATTTTCGGTTTCCCTGCCATGAATGCCTATTTTGGCTTGATCGGCGTCAAATTTCGAGGAGAATGCCGGGAATTTCGGGTCTTGAGTCCTGTCACTACTGATCCGGATACACCCCTCGGTCGGGAGGTGCGTGCTTTGAAAAAATCATGGTGTTCGAGAGTTCAGGACGTGGTTGCGCGATAACACTCAACGGAATTCTTCCCCCGGGTGGCGTTGTGTCATTCCGTAAACTGGATAGAGCTCTAAACTGGGGTGGGGATCACCGAATCGGAGCCAATCGAAGTGATTTAGATGGCAAAACACCTGCCTTTTATGCCTATTTTGCCCAGTTTCAGTGCCTATTCCGGTGTTTTTCGGTGCCTTTTTGCCTGCCTTTTCTTCGACTTTTTAGTGCCTGAACTTCGCAGCTCTACTGATAACACATAGCCAAGCTCGTCAGATGAGCTGGAGAGACGGAAGATGATATGAGCATGGACTCGGTTATGTGTTCTTAGAGTGGAGGAGCAGAATGAAGAATGGTCGGTGAATCAGGTTTTCTCTATCACGGCGTGGTTAGCTCAGGATCTCAGGACAGGTAGATCTTGGGTCTGGGTCGCGGTCGGGGTTCCCAGTCCCGGCGTCCCTCCTCGACGACGAGCTTCTTTCAGGGGAACCCGACAATGACCGAGTCGAGCCCGAGGGATGTGACTTTCCGTGCATTGTAGCTCAGAATGGTCCGCGATCATTCTCCAACAAAAATTTGGGAGTTCGCAAAGTCTCCCAATGCAGACGTGACGAGTTTGAGTGCTGCGCTAGTGTTTTTGTTTATTGCTCTAGCCGATCCGGTGAAGCCACCACGATCCGTTCTCGCCGTACAGGAGCAATCATATCCAAATCCGAATGTCTCTCGCCCGGAACCGATATGAACACGAATCATTTCGAGAACATGAGCGGACGATAATTCAGGTTCTCGGCTCCAACGATGATGGTTCAACTTGAAACCCGGATATTCTATGCGACACGCTCCATTCCGCGCTCGTCGAGACTCGGTCGCCTATGAGATCCTAAATCCTGAGCGGCTCGAGCCAGTACGCGCGCCGCCAGCATGTACCGCCGCCTCGCAGTGCAAGACAAGCCTTAGATACCGTAAAAACCCTTGCCGTTGATATAAGCATGCCCGCCCCAGATGCAACAGTTGCCGCGTTCAGGATGGCTCGAGCTTCCTTCGATGTGGGATATATATCGGGCTGACACAGTTGTGACGAGCTCGGGTGTGAGGGCCCTAGGGTGTGTGTTACATACAAAGACTGCGATGCACTCTGGAAGCGCTGTTGTCACGGTGACCACAACGAGGTTCCCCCCTAAACCGCAGTTTGTTTCGTACAACGAGACTGTGGCATCCCCTGGACGAGACTGTGGATTCTCTCAGCGATAGCGTCCGGCTCTACAGAACTTACGAAGCATTTCACTCGTATCGTGAGGCTCCCCCCATGAAAAAATACGAAATCTGTGCCTGATGATTCTCACGTACTTGTGGCCGCACTACAGTTTCCCCGAATGAACCTAGTTCCTTATTCAAGGATCTTGGAAGTCATCGCACCAACCTGGAGAATCGTCTGATCCATGAGTTCTTTCCCAGCGAATATGATGCGTAACTCTTGCTGGGGAATGCTGAGCTCCGACGCCAGTTGATCCTTGATCTGTTGCACTGTCATGTCAGATGAGATCTTCACCGGTATAATGAGGTCCTTGCTGAACTTGACATTCACCGTCAAATCTGTGTCTTCGATCTCCTCTCGCAGCATTTTTCCGAAAGTTATGAAATTCAAGAACTTGCTTAATGCTTCGAGGAACCAAGCCAGCCAACTCGTGGCCATAGGACTTGAGTGCTACGAGAAAGTCTCTACACCCCACGTCCCGGTGATTTTCTTATTGTACAAGTCCACCGATGGCACCGACCCGGGAAACGTCTTCTTTACTGTCGCGACTTCTGTTCGTTCGATTGGCGCACCGAGATCAGCTGATTCGCGGAGGGCGGCGTTTTCAAAAGCAGCGGCCACGGCGCTACAAATGTCTGAATCTAACCTGCATGGAAGCGGACCGCTCCTCATGGCTTCAATGTTACCCGACTCAGTTCGTACTGCTCGGGACTCGTGACCGAAGGTGCTCCCCAAAGATGACCGAATGGGGGGAGGATGGGCTGGATGGGAGGATGTAGAACGATTGCATTCATTTGCGATGCAATTCGCAATTCGAAGTCTCTGTGCTCTCTCTCTCCCAGATATTTCTGGCATTAGAAGACGTTTCGAGCGTCCGATCGAATGGAAACTATGAATCGTTCTATCCGGTCGCCAGATAGGCGATCATCGACGTCAATCAAGATGATAGTGCTCCTTCCGTGATCCCGGGGGATAGCGGTTTCGATGATCGGCGTTCGACTCGACCTGGGACACTATTCACGAGTCTAGGAACCTCTTCATTCTTCTCAATCGAGGGCTTCGAGAGCAAGTCTACCAACATGCTTCAAGAATTCCGGGCCAAAATCGACACTTTCCTCGATGGCCATATCTTCCTAGATGACGCGGGTCTCCTTCACGAGACAACTTTGTGAGAGAGTCTCGATAGCTTACCGCAAAGGTGTGAAACGAGGGCCCCATAATGATCCGAGCGGGGTTTTGGAGAATCTCTCGGAGACAAGCGAGGATGAAGTTGAACTCCTCGGCCGATTCGAAGAAAGCGAGGTGTTTTATCAAGGTCGAAATTATTTTGTGACTAAAGGTGTGCATCAGGGCACTTCTGCGTTCAAGGCTTCACGGATCGGTTCTATGTGATCGATTTTTGTAGACTTCGAATCGCGCGATCTACAAAACTGCCGACTCGACAGGTGTTCAAACTCAGCCCTTAGGGTAGAGTTGACCCTCCCAGAAGGACGTGACGGGCTCCTTTAGGCTCATCGCCGGAGTGGTACTGACGAGAGCCACAAGAACCACCAATCGCATGAGGCACTCGAAGTTGATTGACGAACCAAATTGGCGACTTCGTGTCTTGGAGAGCATCATCATCTATATTGAAGGCGGAAAGGTCAGTCCCGGGACCACCATGGACGCATCCCCACTTCTCGAGTCTAGCCCGAATTCCTCGGATAAACTTTCCCTCCCAGGAGAGCCCCCATCAGATCTATAGGCGGGCCTCGGATTGATTCTCGTCTACGTTCTCGATCTTTTCGATTGATCCAATCTGCTAAGAGAACACCCTCGACTTTTTCTCACTGAGGAACAGTCTCCCAATGATACATCATTGTTCACGACTCGAATATCCACTCTCTCATTCGTCGAATATCATACATCGTCTTGAGACAGAGGCTGTCTCCCTTGAGGGCTTCGTAATTTTTGACGAATGCGGTTCAAGATGTACAGAATGAAGAGGCAAACCATAATGCCCGTGACTCCAACGGCGATCCGAGACACGGTTTCGAAGGTGCTTCCGGAAGACGCTGGTATCCGTTGACGGTAACTCAGAAGGCAAGAAGCTGTGGATTCGAGGGAGTTGATATTCACCGCCACCAGAGACGCAAGGCTATTCGCAATCGGGATGATTTCAGAGAGCTGTGCGACCTCAGGGAATGCTGCTTGGAGCCGCGGTGAGGCGCTCCATAGGTCGGATTGAGCGGTCGTAACGGGAGCTCTACTCACCTTCGCATGTCTCGCTCAATTTCGTTCCGCAGTCAAGAACGAAGTCGGTGAGATCGGAGGAATTCGGAATGAGATCGCAGAGTATTCCATACTCGGATATCCGACTAACAGACGTTTCTGGAACACGTGGGTGGACTTCGGTTGAGAAAATTGTTGAATGAGGATGGTGGACTTCAGACACGAGTCTTCGAGCTAGTCGCGTCGGAGAAGAGATTATCCTGATGTTCTTGGAAGAAACATTGCTGAAGAGTTCTACGGAGAAAGAGACATTCCGCCCGAGGCGGGGCTAAAGGCGATCTGGGCTCTTTTAAGCCGTACGATTCGCGGGATCAGCATCGCAAAAATTAGGAAGCAGATCTCGCGATGGGTCAACACTATCGAATCTCAATGCCTCTTGAGCTCTCTCACTACTGATGGATTTCCCAGCAAGCTATTTCGCGGACTCTGCGTCGAGTTCAAAAATATCGAAACGCTTGGTGAGCACTCACCGGGGAAGTCACAGCGCTGGACTGTAACATTGATCATGCAGTTCTCGCAAACAGAATGAACGTTGAGTTTGCGGATCCAATTCTCGTCTGGAATTTGCAAGGGGACTCCACTCTGTTACATCACGACTTGGTCGGAGATTCGCGGGGTACGTCGTTCAGATCCAGCAAAAACGCGGTTCCAACTCACTGCTGCACGATTTAGTCAAGTCTGTTATCCTGAACGTCACTGCTGCCCGGTCCCGGAGCGGTGAAGCGGAGCTCGTGCGCCAGCTCATCGAGTGTACCGCGAGGGCAAGTAGGAAGCATACGAAGTCCATCTGGAAATTTTCCCCGAGTTAAAGCGATAGCTTCGAGGCGCTCGAACTGACTGCTGAGTGAGTCTGTTTGGGTACAGCGACTGAAAACTTACGGCTAATAGATGAATCAGACGCAAGGATATTCCCGTCACCTATCTCCCCTCTCTCGGCAGAATACACCTACGATTTCTAACTCACGAAGTTTCTTTCCGGAGAGCCACCGGTCAAAAACCATTCCAGCTGAGGGCTTCCAACTCCAGCGCGCATGCGTGGTTAGGATTGAGAAAGGAGGCTTCCAGGCAGCATCGCGCTTTTCATCACGATTCCGAAAGCGTGGTCGCAAGCCACATCGATACCCTCCGAACGAGCCTTTTTGCTTCATTCATGTGCTCCATACCAATTCTCCTGAGGGAATTCCTCGCATGTCCTTCCTAAGGTGGTGCGAGGGCAGGCCTCGCATAGGCAACACTACGTGTGAATCCTGAATCATCGAGCGAGATCCGCCTACCGGCCCCTGGAACTAGCCGCCGAAATATCCCATTCGGGTCGTGTGGGAGCGTTCGTCCAGGCTCGTACCAAAAGAACCGAAATCGGAGTCAGGGGGCATACCACCTATGGAAGGAGGGCTCAAGACAGACTCCTTGAGCACTCGCTCGGCTGAATCTTTGTAGTACAAGACCTCAGTCTTCAGAACCATTGTTCACGGCTTCTAGCTCGCATCACGAATTTCGCAGCAGGGGTAAGCTCTCCCCAAAGCGCCTCATGAAGACCTCATGAATGCGGAAAAGACTTTTCCTCAAGAGGGGGACATTAGTTTCGACGAGGGGGGGAGTAGCGGCTGCGAAATTTTCCCAGGAAGGGTTTGACCCTTTCCAATATATCCTTTGGGGAAGATGGGAGGAGATCCGAACTGGGAATGATCACTCACCGAGACTCACGGAAAAACTCAATCAGGGTTCGCAATGCCTTCCAGTGGGGGATCCGATTGGGGGATCATACACCTTCACGTGACATCTGACAACGGTGGCGTACGCCGAGTATCGTGGACAGAGCTAAGGTGCCGAGTCGGCCAGAGCTCTAGAGGTGCGGAGAACAGAAGGTCTCTGATATTTGAATACATGCCTTCGATGCCATCTGAGCCCAATTGAGCATGGGGCCTCTAGGACAGCGGTTCCCAACCTGGGATCCCCGGCTCCCGGAGAAGCCGCCACACTTTTCTTGGGGAGCCGTTCACAAAACGGTATAGGTCAGGCTCCGGATTCGTCCAATTTGTCAGGGTTTGTCAATTTTAAGGGAGGGCTCCGAAAGGGATCGACGTCATCTTTCGGCACTGAGCATCTTCCCTTGGGCCATTAATGTTTGAATGAATAGATTAGAGAGCACCGGATATCTTGGCTCTTCCGTCAAGAGAGATGAGACCATTGAAAAAGGAGGAAGTAGAGATCGGAGCCGTGAGAGCCCCCTCGGCACTGGGCACCCCGGGAGCCGCGAGAGAATTCTCGGTTCTCCGGGGAGCCGCGAAGTAAAAAAAGGTTGGGAACTGCTGCTCTGGGAGGGTAAGAGAGACTTACGTCACTTCCATTGATCCCCGGATTCTTTGATACTTTGATTCGCGATGGGAAGGGACATTTCATTCCTCGGTATTCAGCTTCTTCTGGAGACCTATTCGTATCAAGGATCTCCGTGCAGGGATCTTTCCGTATGGGAATCCTCGAGTGGATGGAGCCTCGCTCGTAAGGCAGCGTCGTCTTCACCGGGTGGGATCGAAGAGCTGTCAGATTCGGCAACAGGTGAAGCAGCAGACCAGAATCACAATCAGGAGCTAGTCGCTGCGGAAGAAAGATTTGCTCAAAGAGCCGCGATAGATCGCCTATGGATAGGAGGCAGGTTACTTTGTGCCACAGAGGCCAAACGGAGGGCGACAAAAGCTTGACAGCGCTCCCATGAGACCATCAGGGGTATTCACAGACTCCGGGATGACTCTAGGGAAATTCCGCAGAGGCTTTAATGCCCGGCATGTGATAAAAAACGGGCAATCGAGTCATAATGATCGGCAGTCAGGAGAGCCGACCACCGAGCTACCGCATCGGTCATTCCTAGAGATTTTCGGTACCATTTGGCGGTACTCCTGCATTCCTCGGGGAAACTGAGTCTAAACGCTCCCGGCACTCTATGCCTCGGGCCCCGGGCAAGGGTTGAGGCAGACACGGACAGTACGTCCGCTTGCGTCCTGATTTCCAGAAGGAGGAGGAGGAGCGATTAATGCCTCGAGTTGCCGAAGGCCCAAGCAAAACAGAGTCGCGGAAGGCCACAAAGAGGAACGAGTAGAGTTTTCGAAAGGCTCGGTGTACAACATCCGGCGAGACTTCGTCAAGACAAGAGCATAAGCGGTCTTGATACCTTATACGCGAAGGCATCAGGCGCTCGATGACGCTCAGTGAATCCTCTCCGGAGCATCCAGGGAGGTCGAATCCCTAAGCATCATGAGCCTATTCCTGTCCCGAGAAAATAGCCAAGACCCGGACCGCGGGAAACGGAGACTCCCATTTTGGGGCTTCCGCCGGGCAGTTATCTCGAGGGAGAATCATTCAGCATTGAATGCGGAAAATCGAGTCCGAATCATCGGGTTCTGACGGAGAGCTGCCCATGCTTCCAACCGAATCGTCCCGGAGATCACCCAGTCTCATCCCCGCCGGTGAATCAGCTAATTCCCATTCTTTGTATCCTTCCAGCGTGGGTGGTCCTGCGTCCTCTCGTCTTGGTCCCCGTTTTGTCTGGCGTCGCCTTATTGGCGCTGAGATGTCCGCCTCGAGTTGTCGTTGTCCAGGATGCAGACGGGAATAAATATTCATCTCAGTCAGAGTCAGTAAGCCGTGTAGCACCTCGCCGCCACTCACCGCCGCAAGTTGCTGTTGACGTCCAGACGGCCCCTGTAAATACACTCCAATGGAAGGCAAGATCAGAACTCCGCGCCGCGAAGTCATCGGTCCACATTGCAACGAACGCTGAACCCCTTGTCTAGGTGCAAGAAGGTGACTCGGAGAATTTCACACGAAACTGAAGCTTGCCTGCTCGGGGAGTTCTGCTCGCATTTTTTTCTTGAGAAAACAGATTTATTAGTTCCATTTAGAGAATCATTCTACGGTACTCCGTGAGGGACGCACAAGGGCGTAGTTCGGATGTATTTCCTTTCTTAAAGCACTTGTTGGCGACGATGAAATGGGGGCCCACTGTACTCTACGATTCTAGGTAGCACTGGGGAAACCCAAACGTTTACTTACACGGACACAAAGGTCCAGTCTGTATCATCCGAGCCCGAACCATCTAGTAGAGAGAATCCGCATAGACGGCCAGCAGCCGAGGTCGAATGCAAAAAAGGGCGCTATTTCGACTGATTTTGTGTTCATGGATACCTTGAGAGGGACGAATACGCCATCTCGATGAATTGCTTCCACGATGCAGTACCATTACACAGTCTGGGTCGACGTGCAAGTTTCCCGATGTGGGGAGATGAAAGACGGCGGACCCGAGTCATTTGTTGACTCGATTCATCTCCATCTCAGGAATTGAATTTCCATCTCTGAGGGGGGAAGGAACGTGAATCCAGAAACAAATAGGAAACTGGCCGTTTCACGGACAACAGCCGTAGAGAGAAATGGAACGGGACTCGCCTTGCAGATAGCCCCAACGAGTGAGACTCTGCGCAGGTGCTGACTTGGGGAGATTCGAGAGTCACCGAGTGTGCTGATTGCGAGATTCAGGAGGAAGCCGTTCCAAATTCGTTGAATTTCAGGGCACGGTCGGGAATTCGATTCGGAGCTTCTTGAACAATGTTTCCGATTTTTTGAACTTACCCCTGATTGCGATTGCACAGAGTATATGAGCTCGTTTTCGGGGACTCGGAGCTGAGCCACACAAATGAAGGGTGAACCTTCTCGCCCTAGAAACCGCAGAGTCTACCTACCCGTGGAGACCAGGAAGCAATTTTCGAGGTTGCGAAAGATTGAGGGAATCCCGTGACAAGTCATTAGGTCGAGCCGCCTTCCCAGCATCGGGGTCCAAGTCTCCTCCCGTTGGACCTACAGTGGGTGGATTCAAGGTAGGTCCCGAGCATCGTTCACTTCCGCCATAATAAGCCCGAAAATATCTGAAATGTTCTCGGACGCCCCGGCGGCACCGCAAATGTTGTAAACCTGCTCAGCTAGCGCGGCGTCCGGATAGAATCCCTTATCCTCAATTTCGGCGGAGAGAGAGTACGCGTAGCGGCCGGTGGCCTCGGGGTTTTGAGCATTGGGATCCATCGAGCATAGAGAGGACTTCCATTTTGATCCCAGATCGGAATTCTTCAGTACTATGACCGAGAATGTCCTGCCAATGCGCATTCGTGCATCAGGGGGATGACGCTCCGTCCCGAGACCCCTCAACTAATTGTAAGTTTGAATCTCGGGGAAAGCCCGGGTTCCAGAAGGTGGTCACTATTCGCGATTTCACGATTGACAGAATGCGCATCTTCTCCCCTAGCAACACTGGAGTGGGCAGTACCCACAGCCGCCTTCCGCAGGAAAATCGAATGGACTCGGGGCACATGGATTCGTTCTCCCCGGAGAGAAGATTCCGGGCCTCCGCACCTCAATGGCTATTCGAATTCGCGACCTGACGTTGACTAGAGGTCTCTTATTCATGAGATTCCATGCGACCGTAAACTCTGGCTGAGCTGTGTCATTCGAGGTTGCGTCCTTTGACAAGCCTCGCTTTCGATCGAATATTTCTGAGAACCACGCGCCAGTAACGATATCTCCCGGATTTTATGCGTACCGGCTCGTTTGGTTCGGATCGAGTGACGTGGGCGTTGTCGCGACAGTATTTGCCGTGGTGCTTTTTGTTGACTTCGTCTGAGCGAATGTTCGTATACAAATGTGGAATTCGGAGCGTACAATGACATTCGGCGGCAGTATCGACCAGCTAAGCACCATTGTGAGTATCTCTATCGAAATTGATACCCTCGAGCGCAGGACCGAGACATGTCCTCCTCACGCGTGTCGCATGGACGGCGGATACTCACTTACGCACTCACCGCATGAGCGAATGATCAGGGCTCCGGATCATGAGATCGTGGAACAGCAAACGCTGCCCGTGGAATGGGGACTCGATAAGCCGGCGGAACATCTATCGCGCGAATTAAAGCCCGGAGTCGGTCCCAATCACACGCCATTAATTTTGGACTTCCAATTCTGTCAGTCATCTAAGAAGTTTATTCAAATTCGTTCCTTCTATTCTTCAAATGACTCCCTGCTTCGCATTCATCTATTCTTCGTCGTATAAAGGTGGATCGACTCCGAGGATACGAAGCCGTTTGATATTTTCTCGGTAACTCGGGAACAACGCGCGGCTCCGCGACGGACGGACAACGTTCGCATCGGGACGAAGGGAGAAAACGTTCGGATTTGTGGTAAGCAGTGAGGAATCGAACAACACTTCACGGTTAAACGCAGGGACCTCTCTTGCGCTATTTTCTTTTAATGACCACTGGTGACAGGTCATCTGGCAATGAGTGACAAGGTGACTCCGCAGTCGAGGTAGATACGCTTGCCAAGGTGGACACACCGAGCAGATGGTATGCCTTTCCCTACAGTGTCTTCTCATCTTCTGATGGGACAATCCCTGGTCCAGCAGATGTTCCTTGGCTCGCTTGTTTTTCGTTTCTCGCTCACTTGCTTGGCGCCCGCCTGCTTGGCCTGGCGTTCATTTGAAGATACGGAGACCCAGAGAAGAAATCCGGCACGCGAAGAAAAATACGCTCCGGTACGATCGGATACACAGAAAATCACGCGGAAACTTCTGTCATTACGGAACAGACGAAGTCGCTCTACGATCATGTATCGACCGCTCACCCAGAAAGTCAGCATGCAGCATCAACGGTTTTTCAGGCATTCACTAACCTCTGTGTAGCTGAAAAATACAATATTTTGCCTTGGCCTCGTGGCAGGACACGCGAGCTCACGGATTCGAATTCAGTATTACGTCATTGCATTCAGGTTGTTCGATCGAAAATCGAACGCGGATATTGCGTAGAGAACTTCATCGGGAAGTATGATCCGCGACAAAACTCCCGAAGGCTTCGGGAAACTTAGATGTGAGTATCTCTCCCGCCGACCATGAGGAGAAGCTTTGAAGACGGTTGAGAACTCCTCTCATTGTTTCCCTCCCTGGTCGGACTCGATCCGCATCGTCCCAAACAAGGAAGATGGACATGAATTTTCCCCCAAGAATATCCCAAAGTCTCGGGCTTCACTTTTTATCGCATGCGAGTCCAGGGAGACACATGTACTTTTATCAAAAACCGAGTGGCGTTGTCCTATCGTGAAAAAGCATGCCCAGTCGACTTGAGAGGACAAGTCCAAGAGAACTGCGACGCACGGCGCTCCCCGGAAGCTGACTGTATCAGCGTCATCCGGCGAGTCTAGAATAGGCCCTCAGTATCCGGAGCCTGACTGAGTGAATTCGGACGTTTAATGCTTCCGTGGCCTGGACCAGTCGCTGACGAATGCAAACGGGAGAAAGAGCCCGTGACACGCGTTGTCGCCAGAGACTAATGATTATGCCTCCCTTCGGAGACAAAAGTCCACATCAATTGTGAACGAGTGCACCTATGACCTGAATCGAACTAACTCCGAACATCACGAATTTTCCGCGAAGCCCATCTTCGTTTTATTGTCACCGAGTCACATCGGAAGATTTCCAGCGCGAGTCAATCGATGGTATCAGGAACAACTTGACACGCCATTTTCGCACTACTACGGCCGCCGTTTGCTATTTGTCCGCCGCTTGTTCGGATCTGGGCTTGGCGCACAACTTAGAGCCGCTGCAGACACTTTGAAAAACGCGCGTCGCGTACGGAATGATGGGCAATAACTTGTCATTCGACAATGGAGTTTCGACTTGCCACTTCTGGTTCTTCAGATCTGAGCGGCAACTCCGGTTCCGCTGATTGTCAAGGAACGAACCTCGAAAGTCATTCCCCCCTCCTACTTTGAGCGCTCTCGCCGATAGAAGGAAACCTCCTGAACAGCAAGAGGGAGATTAGATTTTTCATGGAAAGAAAGCCGAAGAAAATATTCGTCTGAGCAGCTTCTCGCCGAAACACAAGCGAACGCCCTCCCGCCCGCTCGTTCGTACGTACAGCCAAACAGCCAGGTGGCCTCAAGGATTTCGGTTCCGTTGTGAATCGTCTCCATGTTTTTCCTCTATTCACGATGAAAGACGAGGATTCCTTGACAAGAAACCCTCTTCAATGTTTCTCCGGCGGACTCCCTAACAGAGAATTCGACATCGTCGCTCACAACCGGATCGCAACCGGCGCTCGATTCTGGTATGCATCGATTGCTCGCCCAAAAAGGTCACGGCACGACACAAGAGGATAGACGGAAGGACATTCAGTCTGGGAAGTACAATTTGGTCTTTTTTTCGTGCTCAACAAGTTGTTCTTCATGTTCGACTGAAGTCGAAAGCTCGATGTCGAGCCCGATGACGAGATGATGTGCCTGATTTGAAAGCAGCGCGAGTGCATAAATCGCCGAAGTCAGAGGGTAGATTGGCTGACCGGATTGTGGGTCAGCAGGAGTTTCAACACGATATCAGAATTACGATGGGATCCGATGGAGCGAGAGGATTCCCACCGCCTCCGAGCAATGGTACGGCGTTCGCCAACCATGAGGACAGCCTGGCAGCCCATATGAAATTTAAGCACCGAGGATGAGAGGAAGGGATGGATGGAGCATGTGTAAAGCGGCCGACCGACCGACGAACCGGCCGGCCGGCAGGCTGCCAGGCACGCCGGCTGCCCGCCAGGCTTGTTCGCATTCAGACACGGATCCCAAGTGCATGGTTTCCACGTGTGGAGAGAGCTTGTGGTGAGGGCAAGCTGTGTTTCCCTCTCCGAGAAGTCGGTCGCATGGGACGGCAATATAGTTACACACTCAAACAGTTCACACTCAGTTGCAACTCGGTGCTCGACTCTGTTGCTGGCTCGTAGTCGTCAGTCTCTAGACTTTGTTTCCCTTCGGACACATCCGGGACCGGTAGTCGGTTGGTCGTCCTGTCGATCGATCTGTCCACTTATCTGCCGGCCCGCCTTCTGCTGGGTGGTCAGTCAGTCCCTGTCGAAGAGAACTACTACTTGTTACCGGGAAATCTCGCTACCGTTGTTTTCTCCAGTCGCCGGTGTTTTGTTAGAAGATTAACTCGAAAAGTTGCCTAACCGCTCCGAAGTGTCAACTGGTCCACCGACCGGTGCCACTTATACTGATACTACTGCCACAACAGCTCGCGAGTTCGGAACCTCCCGCCGCTTCCATCTCTGCGAGTAAGCTGACGCAACGACCTAGTGCGATGTGTGACAGTGTCGAACAGTGATTGAACAGTGAAGAAAAAGAAGGAGGAAACGCAGACGATCGAGTCGTGCATGTCAACGTTCGTGGAGCAGCGACTCGCTTTCACGGGCGGCGAGGAAATGCCACCGGTGGGCTTAGTTGCCATTATGGCCCCCCAAGCGATGACTACGGCAGCGGCGGTGACGTCAGGGGGAGCAACCGGCTTGCTCAGCTGTTGCGTCCCGACCGAATGCAAAATTCCCCTCACCGGTCAAGATCTGACCAACGCAGTCCGTGTGATCTGCAACAATCAAGATTGCCGTGCCGGTGAGTACATGCATCGAGAATGTTTCGAAGAGTGGCAGGAAGGCGTGCTTTCGTATCTGAGATCATGCGGTCGAGCGCGATCCTGGTCAGAGAAGCAGCGGATGCAGAATCTCTGGACAAGGAGAGGTTACGACCTGGCGTTTAAAGCTTGCGGCTGCAAGTGCGGCAAAGGCCACTTGAGGAAAGACACCGATTGGTGTCCTCCGACGAACAGCATCGCAACCCACGATGAGAAGAAGAAGCGAGGACGCAAGAAGAGGCAGAACGAAACGGCGACCGCGACCGGCTCGGTGAAACCCTCTGTTCTAACGACTGTTGGTCAGAGGAACGTCGGTTGCGTACAACAAGCTGTTCAACAAGTCGGTGGTCCCCAGAACAGAATTCGAAGCTCGTCGATCTCCTCGACAGGATCTGGTGTTTGCACCCCGCCGACCACTCCGGACCAGTTCGCGTCGCCGATTCCTCGCTCGTCAGTGAATCCGTTCTTCAACGGAGATCGTTCGGGCAATTACGAGAAGCCTCAACAAGAGGTCCGGCTTTTCTCTCGACGATCTGATTACTCGGTGTTCAACTGTCTGCCACGACACAAAATCAATTCGTACAACATCAAAATGGAAGACGACGATCGTAGCGACGACATCCGCACGTTCATACTAACCACGCTCGCCCAGCATCGCACCACTCGAATTCCGTGCTGTGTCTGCCATAATTCAATGAACATATTTGACCGATACCCGCTGCTGGACGGCACTCTATTCCTGTCCCCGCGTCAGCATTCGCCTGGATCCGTCACGATCCCATCGAGCAACCGCACTCAGTACTTGAACGCGGTTTGCATGCGTTGCCTCGAGGACGATTGGCAAAATCTCCGCTGCGTGGCTTGCCGCACCAAATGGACCGGAGGACACCTGATCATTGGAACTCTCTATTCGTACGACATTTTCGCCGCTCAGCCCTGTTGCGAGGAAAGACTCCGTTGCAATCGTTGCCGAAAACTCGTCATTCAACCAAACCAGCGTGAGCGCTACTTCTTCAGCGATTACTCGCACAGCATAGCGTGCCCCTCCTGTAAGTCAATCGACTATCATTTCGTGAAGCCGCTCAACGTCTATGCTTGTGACTAGAGTTTGTGTCCAATTTTTAGTTCGAATTCAAATACTATCAATACCATTATTATAATTAGTATTATTAGCGTATTGTAATCGATTGATCGATAGCTAGCGAGCCAGTCAGTCAGTCAGTCAGTGAATCAGCCCCTCCCATCACTCTTTCGACCCGCTATCGATGCCCAGTGCCCCGCCGCTCCCTTCCGACTTCCGACCCTCTCGATATCATCACCCACACCTGATACTGAGCAGCAGAGATAACTCGCAGCCGCTACTCTCGTCGAAGAAGAGCGAATCGGAGCGGAATAACGGGACATTTCCTTTCTGGAAGTTTCTTCCGATTGGGAACGTGGTCTCCCGAGGAAGACGGAAAATAACTCCCTTTGCGGTCCAGCGACCAGCTCCGGTCCGGTCCGGAACAGAGATCAGTAACTCTCTCTGCCCAATATGATATTCTCCAACACGCGATAACTATCTCTAATGAGGAGTGTCATCCTGATTGCATCACCGTACCGAGCAAGAATTTTATGACAATGGATATGATGATTATCATTAATATTATTATCAATATATTATGCGAATTAATATTATACGATATAGGATCTTCACCTTGACCTGCGGTTGTACCGATTTGAGCGGGAACCGCTGAAAACCATCATGATGAGCAACAGTCTCGAATACAATGTCGTTGATCGAAAGTGCGTGAGTCCGCGTGAAAGCGTGCATTGTGTTGTTTGAGTCAGGTCTTCTGAAGCTTGAGCTATCGATGTGACCGTAGCTACCAACCGGAACCAGCCGCCCGAGAAACCTGCGAACCAATCTTCCCGCGTTAGCAATCGTCCGCGTAGGAAGACTGCCGACAGTCGTATCAGATACGACTCGGCGTTTTTAATGAATTTTGACGGGCGAACCGTGCGTCCGAGAGCGACAGAGTTGGTATGCTCGAAGCTTGCGGCCCTCAACGGAAGTGGAAGACGAGCAGTCAATCAGTCAGTCAGTCAGTCATAAAAGCAATCTATCTATCTATCAATCGATCCCCGACTAATCAATAATGCTAAACAGAGTCAGAATATTCAGTCTAGAATAGATTTGGACTCCCGATCCCAGTAGTCAAAATGTGTGCCTGAATGTCGCCTGTTGCCAAATCCGAGTCGACAAGGAGACCGCCGACCGGGAGCTCGATAAGCGCGTTCCGTTTCGCGATTTCGAGAATTTCGAGTTTTCTTCTGATCCGTGAAGTCTGAGATCGGTGAACCCGATTCATGGTAGACGGCGACTTATTGAGCGGCCGACTCCTAGCGGATTCGACTTCCTATCGACCCAAGTTCCATTCTCAATTTCGTTCCAAACAGTCGCTTTCTATTTGCTTTCAATCAGCGGATAATCATGTGTCCGCCACTCGTCGGCCTGTGCCATCTCTGTCCTCAGCGAAAGGCATCGCCGACAGATTTTTCGCGTCGGAAGTTGTCGCTGCGAAGGATTCGAGGACATTCGCACTTGCACTCACAGAATCCGTTTTTCTTTTCGACCTCAACTCCCCGAATCTGAGACTGGATCTGGATCAGCTCCGTTCGGAGGCCGGACTCCCGGGCGGCGGCTCCCTTCTGTGATCGAAAATCTGAGATGCTGATCAAGAGGCTTCTCATCATTAATTTTCGAGGGGGCGATTTATATCATTACTCTCGCCGGATACGGAGATCGAAGCGAATCAGTCTACCTTCTCCCTCACTATCTTGCCTTGTCCTGCGCTCAGGAGCGGATCGCCAAGAGCAGAGGTACGGAGGGCGGGCAAACCATGTTAGAGTCCTCTCGTCGTGGGGAATAATCTTTCGTGGAGAGTTCATCGCCGCGATCGCCCAAATAGATCGCCTGGTACACAACATTTTGTTCAGAATCGGCTCCTGCTGGCAGATATCCTGTCTTAACGGATCGCTACAGGCTCCCCTCGTGGCCGAGAGGTCGTAGATATACTCCTCAAGCGCGAGGCTTTCACTACTGGAATACTCAGAATCCGCGGATCGTGCTCGCAGAGGAGAATCTGAGTCCCTTCTGATCCGAGTTGACTACAAGAATCTATCTATACTCTCTCTGATCTGATTTGGGCGTTCGGCGGCATATGAATCACAGCGCGATATTTGAAGCTAAAGTGATATTCAGAGCTCCGACGGAGCTCTGAGCCCTCAAATGAGTTCCAGCCGGAAACTGTTGAACCTGATGGACGTCTTCAGAAACACCGAACCTCCTCCTCCTGAATAGAAACTGATTGTTCCCAGTATGCGTCGCGGCATAAATGACAGGTCGAGTCTCAGATGTTCCAGATCGTTGTACTTTGTCTTTCGAGGTCTTCGTCCACCAGGTCCGACTATCTGGCCAAGGTCCGACTACAGAACTAGTTCGTCCAGATACGAGGGTTTCATTTGTGAAAGAAGAAGTTGTCTTTGGATATTCGGAGCAGTGGAGATCGATCCCTGCTCGAAATCATGGCAGTCGTGTAGTTAGTTACATGTTTCGACATGCGCGGAATCAGAAATACTTCCGGTGAAGACCGCGTCCTTTCGACCGACTGAGTGGTTTAATATCGAGCACGACAGCGCGCAGAAGCTCTGAGGCGTAATATGCGAGGAAAAGAGTCATATGGGAATCTGTCCAGCGGAATCGGTGGACGCGTCAATTTCATAGAGTGAGATCGGATTTCGGTTGTACTCGAGACGCGGCAACTTGAAAGCATTATTGATCTTGGGTAAAAAGGAACAAAGCGAGTTATTCAAGTTACATGTTTGTTTGATCGGTCCGTCTGCTTCCGTCGCGCGGGCGTTTCCGCTGTGCAAGATTAAAAAATCCCCCAGTGATCGTCATTGTCGCTTAAACTCAGAGCGGACCGCATCGATCTCCGCTTCGACTTGTCGCACTGAGGCCAACTTGTACACGAACCTCGTGAGGGGAAGAAAGCAGACGAACCAAGTCATCCACCAAGGTGTGTCTCTGTTGCAATACGAGCCTGACGGAGCCCAGAAGTAAGCTGACAACTGCGAGTCTGATGATATGAAACGCTGATTATGATTCCATGCACACACACGAGTAGAATATTCTCATCGAAGGCTATGTATAAATGCTGTCTTTAGGACGTTGTTCATAATGATAATAATGATAATGTAATACGAATAATGATCGTCGTTGTCGTCGGAAGAGTCGAGTATGAGAATCGAGAACGAATTGCGGGGGACCGCGTGGTCCCAGACCAGGGTCCTTCGGCATGTGTCCCCCTCGAATTCCGCATTGCTTTGCCGCTTGCCGCCCACTACGAAGCGAGTGTCATCGCAGAAGAACTATTTTTTCTAGAAAAACATGAGCCGAAAAAAATCCCACCAGATTGTGGCCGTAGAGCTGCATGCACTGTGTCGATGAGAGCTATTTTTGGAAAGCGGCGTCCCGTGAATTTTTACCAGGAGCTTTCAGATAACGTTTCCCGAGATGGGGATTACCTAGGTAGGGGAAGTCTAGATGAGAAACAAAGAAAAGAGTAAATGCCGTCGACGAGCTTGTCCGGCACCTCCTATAATATCGATTAGGAGTTTGTGATTCTCTCAAGTGGCAGGAAGCGTCGATCACAACGATCGATTGCGCCAAAGCGTCCCACGACCGTCAATCAAGCCAAAAGACCGAAAGTGAGTATCGCGTGCAAATGTTTCATCATTGCAATATGAATCGGAAAATCAAGCCGACTCCTTTCCCGAGAAGCTCGAGGGGAGGGAAGTGATTAGAAGGAACTCTTTCGGAAGAGAAACCCCGGCGAGACTTGATACGATACCTAAATGCAGTGCTGATCGCGAATTAAGCAGAGTTGACGAACTGGTCCTTGACTTGGGAGCCTCTGCTGAAGAGGTCCGTTCGAGTAACTGGAGTTCAAGCGGAAACTCTAACGCTTAGGAGATGTTGTATAACGCTAGAAGGAGACGCGGGCTCCGAATAAGCAATTAGAACAATGGTCAGCGTAATTCGTAATGATTCGAATTAGAAAGACTCGTTGTTACTCGAGCGGACCGTCGCGGCCGGGACGCCCTCTGGTGCGGTTGTGCGAAATCTATATACAGAACTAGTTGAACTAGATCAAGCCGCAGCTTGGAAATCCATGAAGCAGATGGAGTCGGTCCGTCCGCGCCCGTTTGTCCGTCGGCTTACTGTTGATCGGACGACATGAAAGCAAGACGACCCTCGGCTACGTAGTGCGACTAGGAAACAACCCGGTAAACTTCGGCGATCAACCGGATTACGCTCCTCTTCCGGTTTTGAAGCTCCGCTCGACGTACCTAAGATGCGTGGTAGTACCGGAACCTCGAGCCTGTGAGCCCTTCCGATTGAGTGATGGAGCTTGAAGGGTTAAAAACCTGTGGTCGTCCCTTCAGAAGAATCAAGGCGACGGATCCTAGCACCGCGGTTCGTTCGAAGATCTCTGGAGCCGACTCTTACGACAATAGCGAAGAATCACACTAACACTGGCTTCCTGTCTTCGATGTTTGACATCGACAGAAGCATTTCCGGATCTTTGTTTTCCATCCGATGGGAGCTTGCCGGACGCAGCACGCACCTCTAATCGGGCTGCATTCCTCATCTTGAGTCCTTCGATTATTTCCGTCGGACGATAATCAGTGGGGATAGAAAATATTAACAAGAATAACCTAACGCCGTAGTGGAGTAATGAGAAAAAAAATGAAAAAAACACGTGCGAAGAGAATCACCGCAAGATAGTTGCTTGGTGCGTTCTTGAAAAGCTAACACGGGTATTTTGTGTTTGTGTCTCCGTAGCTCGGTAGCTTGCTTTTTTAAGTTTGCTTGCTGTACTGTAAACTCGCTGCATCCGGTTCCGGCCGGTTTTTTCTCTTTTAATATTGCCTTATTGAGCACGGTACGGGAACACCGTATATCATTTCATCACACGTAGCAGATATCTCAATTTTTTCTGGTCTGCTCCGGGTTGGACGCGAGCATTTTCGAGGAGGAGAAAAGACGCAACGACGAAT